GGCCATCTCTCCCAGCATCTCTCCCTAAGAAGTGTAGCCCTAAAGGCTAGGGTTGCTGTCTCCCCTACCAGAGCCCACGACATCCCAAATGCATGGCAATGACTTTCCGCTTGTCTTTATCTGTTCCAGACACAACTCTGGGAAGGTGGAGATTATGGCACATTCACCACATTCATCATTTTGTACAGAACTCCTAGTCTCAGGCAGTACTTGCTACCCTGAAGGCTCCCATAACAGTATTGTGGAAAGGAAGGTACATCGTGTCCCTCCCACATGCACACACTGGGCTGTGCTGCCATACACAGGACTCAGCCCTTCCAGATGAAGACGGCAAGAGAGACACAAAGTACTGTGGCTGAAATGAACACAGCAGGGATGTGATCAAGCAGGGGCTTGGAAGCACATTCAACAAACTCTACCAACGTGTCATTCCCAATCCTGGTATGGTGCCTCATGTATGGCAAACCAGGAGACCCTGGGACAACACATGCCAACTTTGTTGAAACTCTCTTTTCCTAGGGAATGAGGATTATGACCCTGGAAATCTGAGAGTTTCTAAAACACAATTTCAAAGCCACTGGCTTAACAATGTAAATGGTTTTAAGACCACTGAAGAAATAAAAATATCAATGACTGTTGGCCTGTGCTGAGCTCTTTATGTGCCAGGCACTGTGCAAGGCAACCATAATGTGTTATCTTACTGGGTCCTCCCGATGACCCCATGAGAAGGCACGGCCATTGCCTTCAGGATACAAGTGAGAAAGCAGAGGCTCAGAGATCAACCAGCCCAAGAGCACAAAAGCAGCACGAGGAGGGTCAGGATCCAGAGTCTTCTAACTGCTATACCTCACTGCCTCTGTATCTGGATGGGCTTCACTTACAAGCTAACCTGAGCCTCTCTCTGAACCACATCTTTGCCATCACATTTCCTTCCTCCTTCCTGACCACTCTGCCATTGGGAATGATATAACATACCTTCTGGGTACGTGCTCCATGTCACCTCAAGTCTGTACATTAAGCACTGTTTGTGGGAGATAGGAGAAGCACCATCTACCACACATGACCTGGAACCTGCTACCACACATGGCACAAAAGAAGGACTGCATAAATGTCTCTTGAACTAAATTGAGATCGTGTGAATGAGAGGACACAGTCACTGTGTAATCTGGCCACGTTTGGGATTTCCTAGCTGCCAGCTAACACGATCATTCTCTCCAAGAAGAAACTAGGTCTATGCCAATACCCTTGGCTATCCTGCTAACTTGCCACTAGCCTTGAATTGCTTAATTGAGAGACAGAATATAAAAAGGCAGAAGGAGAGAGAAGGACAACGATCAGCTATAAACATGTCCCTTTAAAAGACAGAGGACTCTTTAAGGTGACGAAGTTAGCATTTAACAAATAGCAATGCACCCAGTAAGAACATGAAGACTAAAGATAACAGAATTCAGCCTTTCCCCAAAATAACCTTTTTCAAATGAGAACACTAGGTTATAATTTATATTTCTTTTTGTGCAACAAATTTGAGTGTCATAAAAATGGTTAAAAAGTCTTCCTATGGTAGCTTTTTCTAAACTTTTATGAACATCTGCCACATTCATTTGAAGTTTAAAAAATTCTGGCACATATGCAAAGGCATAATAAGGTGCCTATAGCTTTCAAGAAAAAATAACAAGACAGTCAAAAATAAGCCTTTTGCTGAATTGCCAGTAAGAAAATTAGTATAGTGAGTGGAGATGGGCCTTCCTGAGCTCCTTCCTTAAAGAGCTATCCTTGGCCCCCAGGTCTGAGCTTCTCCCCATGTGCTGTAGCCCTGGTTCCTGGAGGAAATCTCAGGGGAACCCACTCTCAGCTGAAGGATACAAAAGAACCAGATAAACTTGCTCAGAAAGCATGACCAGGGCAGCCTGAGTCTGAGCTGAACCCAGGGGAGATCAGGAGCCTCTATTCCATGATTTGGTAGTTCCTTGGTGCCCCATTCACCCAGGGACCATGTCTTTGTTCAGGAAGTGTCTTAGCTGGCTTTGAGACTGGGGTGACAACTACTTCTGTTTTTCAGTGCTGACCACATGGGAGCTCAGCAGAGCAAACTCCATCCTGACTTCAGTCATTCAACAGGGCTAAGATCTAACTTGACCAGTACTACCTGAACCTTCTCACTTAAAGCCTTTCAAAGGCTGAGCAGAGGAGACCTGCACCCATACCCCTGAGTGCAAAACCCTGTCTCAAGTGTTAGCTTCAAAATTTATGCACATTTCACATCACACGTTTTACTACAGAAGGCCTATTTTAAATTACTTCCAATCACATAAGAAGTAAAAATATCACCTCCCCCATCTTTAAGTAAAATTATGGCGCTGGGGTGCCTGAAAATCATGATGCCTACTGGAAGTTTCCTCACTGTGCTCCATATCACAGCTTCTCAGGCAACCACTCAAATCTTCAGAAAGGAAAGGTGTGTAGGTGCTTAGGCCACCACAGTAGGTGATACACAGTCCTGCTCCCAAAGAACTCAGGCTCCAGGGGTAAGAGAGAGAGACAGGGAGTAAACAGTTATTATCTAGAGAAAAAGGTACCATGTGTGAAAGGAGAGAACAAAACAGAAGGCCTGAGAAGAGGTGGAGAAGGCAGGTTAATCTACACAGATGTGAGAGGGTGGGGGATGTTTGGAGACAGTGAGAGCACTGACTAACCGGAGAGACTATGCAGTACCCGGGGCAGTGCCCAGACATGCTAGAAGATGCCTGTTAAAAGTAGATTGACCAAGTGGAAGACAACCCACTTGTGTCCAGATGATGGACTGAAACGTAGATGCATCTTCATACTTCCAGGACCTGGCCAAATACTTAGAACATCAGAGGCCCTCACATTGCTTATCAAATGAAAGAAAAAGAAGGAAAACGAAAGTGCCCACAAAGGCAAGGAGGAAAGAACAGGGCGAGAGACCTTTCAGAGACTTGGCGAGTAGAGAGAAAGGAGGAGGAAGGGCAGCGTTTAGTTATGCTCAGTGTGCTCCACTTTGGTGCCTTGGCAGGTAGTAATGTCATTCACTGGGCCCAAGAACACCAGAGAGAGGGGATGGCTTGGGGGATGTGTGTGGTGTGTGTGTGTGTGTGTGTGTGTGTGTGTGTGTGTGTGTAATAAGTAGTTCGGGATATCTCAGTAAGACATCTGTGACACATCTAGGGAAAATTCAATTCGTACTCGAAACTTCAACCCTGAAGTTTAGAGAGGTAGACCAGTGTTAGAATCACAGCTGAGAATCAGTGACATTGACTTGGTAGTTGAAGCAAAAAGCCTTAAACGAGATGACGAGAGGGCACGTGGAGAAGAAAAGAAAGCCAAGACAGAAACTTGGAGAATGCTGAAGGTACTGGGACATAAAAAGAGTCTGAGAAAAGGCTGTGCTGGAGCAATCTGGAAGGCAGGAGGAGAGGCAGGAGGGAACTGTGGACTCCGATAGACCAAATAGTCTTCAGATTAGTGTTTCAACGGGCCCTAGAGGTCTGCCAGAAAGTACTCACTTTTAATTTTTCATGCAGGAGCTTTGAACAGACCCCCAAACTTGACAAACAAAGGTAAAACACAGAAGAAATCTCTTCAATCTGATCTAAATACGTCCTCCGAGATAGTCCGTAAACTGTGTACTGTATGTGCTTAGGGCTGGGTGATGACAGGGAGGAACTGTTAACAGAATGTAGGAGCCACATGGCCGTCCTGTCAAATTAGAAATTTGAGCAGATTTCTGTGGTCTATTTTGATCAAGATTCTCAATGTCAAACAAACAGGTTTTTCGATAACCAACTTGTTTCATTTTCGTAAGCACAATAGCACAGTGTGCAACAGTTAGTGAAGAAGCAGGTGGTCCTCGTCGACGTGAAGTGAAGGGAACAGAAGAAGAGAAGTAGCACTTCCTTTACGACATGCAAAGCACCATCGCAGACGGACATGGCTGTAGATTTTCCCTGAGAGCTTAGCTCCTGTGCAAAACAGGCAAGTCCCCACCCCCGCTCCGTTTTGCTCTGGTACAAATTGCTGCTCTCTCCTGAGGACAAAAAGGCTTAGGGTTCATGTCTACAAACTAATGGCACTCACAGAAGCACGGAAAAGTTCTTTTAAAAAACTGCTATCTAATTGGTACAGCCATACAGAAAACAATCTGGCATCAGATTCATAGCTTTGACCAAGCATTTCTACTTTAGGGGTTCTAAGCTAAGGAAACGAATCAAAATGCAAATAAAATCTTATGCATAAAGATGTTCACAGAAATGCTATTTATAATGGTGAAAAAATGATAAACAACCCAAGTGTCCCACAGTAGGAAAATAGTTAAGTGGTGATGTGTCCAAATAGTTAAAATGATCGGAAACAAATTAAAAATTATTACTGAGAGTAGATAAAAACATGCAAAAATTACCATGCCATAATATTAACTTTAACAAAACATAAAATTTTATATATATATGTGTGTGTGTGTATGTGTATCAATTACGCACACTTAAACAAAATATATATTCACAGAAAATAAAGACTAAAAGGAAGAACAGCAAAAGGTTGTTCAGTCTGGAGTAATGATATTGTGGATCATTTACTTTTATTCTTCCTATGTCAGTGTATATTTTATATCACATTTTCTACAATGAAAAGTGTAATATTGTTATGGTGATTTAGAATAAATGCCATTTTGAAAAGTGAATCATTTTCCTTCCCTCATTCAAACCCTTAAAGAACCCCTTCTTTCTCCGCCTCCCTGACCCTCACTCCCTCACCCATGAAAATTGACAATCTCCAAGCAAAGTGGAAAAACCTGAAAACAGGAGCACAGTGGAAAAGGGTCTAGGCTGGCCGTGCAGCTGTGTGCACCTGGGACGGGACCACGCGGGAGGTGTCGCATCACCGCTCCCACGTGCAGAGCTGCGATCCCGAGACTGTCTTTCCACTGGCACTGAGTGAAACAGAGCCCCAAGCCGAGCGAGCTGGGAGGAGAGAAGCCAACTTACCTCCATTAAACTTAAATGGATTCCTATGAGGTAAGGCATGGGAGCACTGTGAAGAGAAACAGAGACACACAGCTGCTTTAATGTCTGTTGCTTCCAACAGAAAATTACAGATGGTTCACTATTTGGAGAAAAACTGTTTTAATAAACGTATGCACAGTTACATTTCCTTTCACAACACAAATCCTAATATGACATTTTCTTCCCAAGCCTAGAAGCTTCAGAAGAATTTCAAACAGAGAGAGCACTGGAAGAGCATGGGAGGCGGGAGGAGGGTCAACCCTGGTGTTAGACTCTGAGCAGCTAAGTGACTGTGGAGCCTCAGTTGTCTTATCTTTAAAATGGGATTCTGGAATCGAGCCAGCATGCCATCCTTAGAATGACAGAAAATACATGTCAAAGTGATTAGTTCCTGATACAAATGGGAACTATGATGGCTGTGATTATAACTGAATAAGTAGTTAAGGTAGAATGGAAGGCATAATATGCATCCCAAAGATGACTTTTTACTTGCTGTTTCCTTTTGCCACCAAGAGATGTGACCTATCTCTCCATTCTGGTTGGGCAAGGTACTTGGGGAGCTGCTAGCAGGCATCTCCTCCCCGACTGCACACATGCCACCCAGTGATGCTCTAACTGATAGCTTCTGCCAACTGCTTCACTCACAGAGCAATGGGTTCCTTGAGTTAGTACCCGAGCAAAGGAATGACAACCTATCTCCAAAGATTTCAAAGCAGGCACTGTGGGTCATCCAGTCCCTTCTTTGATGTCAGGAGTCTGTCTGTATGTGAGTGTGTATACATTATCATTTATAATGCCACCTACTGATGATCAGGGTGCTAGGTGTAATGGGAGGGTCTTTAAATTCACCTTTTGAATTCACATAACAGACTTGCAAGGTAGTATCATCTTTACTTTACAGAGGAAGACCTAGACTTAGGTTAAATCACTGAGCTAATGCCACTAAACATAGTAAGTGACCACTTATTCTACTTTCTATGCTTTCCTGCCCTTTCATAACATTAGGTTTAACAAAAACATAAATATATACACGCCTTGACTTTGTAATCTGGAACCTGAAATACCCCCTCACCTCCCACTCAATGTTCTCCCTGGGGATAGAGAAGGCAGGCCAAAGGTGGGAAGCAGGGAGTGGCCCCTTTTCCATCTGTCTCTCCAGTGTGTGGCATGGCCTATGAGATATGCAGAGTGTAGCTGATGAACCTAGAGGAGAGACACCTGGCTCAGACTGACGTGACCAGGCAATCTTCCTCTGGGGGAATGGAAGAGGTTGGACAAGGATGGCTCTTTGGGGACAGGGTTGGGTGACAAGGAGTGAAAAGTAATGAGGCAGGAGAGCATTGCTTCCACGGAATAGCAAGGAATCTAGGCTTTATCTTGAAATCAAGAGATAGAATGAAGGTTTTTAGACATCAGATGTACATTTTAAAATTGCTCAAACATTTAAAAATAAGGACACAATTCCCTCATTACCATTCAACAAATAACATTCTTTAAGCAAAAATTCTTCACCAGAATAAAAAATGTCCTCCTCACTACAGATCTCAGCAGTCCAATATCTTGAGAGCAGGTAAAACAGACTTGAATATTAGCAGCACAGTTTGGGAACTATTCTTCTAGAAGACTTTTGTATTTGATAATAGCTAAAGAAAGAAATATACACACAACTGCAGTGAAAGTGGAGTGTCGTTTCTTTTCTTTCTTTTTCTACTTCTCCCCCCACCCCTTGTTTAAAGGTATCTGCTGTGCACATTCAGCTTCTCCCCGCTTCTAGGGGCAAGGAAATGCCCTGCGATATTTTTTTCCCTCAAACTGTAAACCATTAGTTTAGCTGCCAGCTACACAAACGCTTAAACTTCCCAGTGTGCCTGGCTCTGCTGTCCAAGCTTTTTCCAGTGTACACTGAAATGAATGTGTTTCTAATTAAGTAGTTGCAGGAACACGACAGCTTCAATGTCAAAAATACAAAGTCTGAACCCCGGCAGGAAGTCTTAAGACTGCAAATGTCTCATCTAGTGGAACCTTGCTTAATGTAATGAAAGGAAGCAGGAAGAGTGCAGAATTCCAGAAAAAATGGCCACTTACTAATGTGTCCAGCAGCACGGCAGAACACATGGAAGACAGAGAAGCTCAAATCCATAATATTTACTAAATCTTATCAACTTTTCCAGTTCCTACATTTCATCACGCATTTGGCCAGTGACCATGAGTTTTCATTAGTATCTCAGAACTAAAAACCAATAAACAAGTTAATATACAGAAAAAGACATTTAAACAACCACAAGAAAGGGGCAAAAATGTCTATGGTGAAAGCCGTCTGTATAATTTAACCACAGTCTCTAATCTGAAAAAGAAATATTTTCTAGAATTTTAAAAACAGACTTATAGTCTGTTTTAAATAGACTTTCATCTTGCAATAAAAATCAGTGATACCCCGATGAAGAAGAAGGAACCTTAGAGAAGTGACTACAGAAAAGGACAAAGTGGGACCCATTCTTCAAGAATCCTTAGGTAGGTATTTCTTTAAACCCAATAATTTCCCAAAGAGTAATCATGGCCTATCATAGAAATGTACTTTCTTAGCCAAGTATTGTTAGGACTGCAATAGCTCTGTATTTAGAAAATATTTAAAACACATTTATTCCAAGATCACAGCAGCTCCACGTTTTGTATGAATGCAAATTTAGACAAATACCTTTTCATTGTCATCGTTTGCTTACAAAGCCTCAAATCCTTCTCTGAATCTACCGCTCTACAAATATATAATTACAAATTCCAAGAGCAGGGAGGAAGAGGGAAGAAAAAGAAACCTGGAGTCTCCTTAACATCTCAATGTGGCAAGTATGTAGCTGGGTAATTCTTGGTAGGTTCTGAAAACCATTTCTATTCTCAATATACCTCAATAATTACTGCAGCTACTGACTCATTTTCTTGGAAACCTCTTTTCCTTGCCTTTTTATTATAAAAAGAAATCTTTTGGGGGAAAAAAAAACACCTACCCATGATTACATCATCTTAACAAAAACCACTTTATTTTCGCATTATTCCTTTCTAATACTGGCTCACATTAACAAAGAGTTTTATATCGTTAGGATTATAGAGTGCATACATTTTGTTGTGTTTTCCATTGGCTACATTAACCTCTACCATATTCTTTTTTGTTTTTAAATTGCAAGAGGGTACATGTCAGAGAGGCACAGAGACCAGGGGAGGGAGGCAATACCTCTCAGTGGGGCACGGTCATGTCACAATCCCTTCTCCTCCATTTCTCCATCCTGTCGGGATTTGGGGCACATATGCACATACACTGAACTTTTCTTTTTAAGTCATTAGGATTGGGATTCAAACCATGGTCAATTATGTGGGATCTGGCTCTCTTGAACACTAGGCTACAAGGCTGGTCTGCCATTTTCCAATCTACAATCTTTGTGATTACTATTTTAAAGACTGCATAGTATTCTACCAAGTATGGATATATTATAATTTACTGAATTCTACTTTTTTTTTTTTTTTGAGAGGGTTTTGCTATAGGGCACGTGTGCTTGCCAGAAAGACAGAGAGAGACAGAAAGTGAGATATCACCCCCAGGGGGGGATGTCCACACTGCAATCCCTTCTCTATTCTCCGCTCGGGATCTTGGGCATGCACACACACGCACCTGGTGTGAGTTTAAGCCACCAGGTCCGGGACTTGAACCACAGTCAACTACATGAGAGTCCAGAGACATAGCCATTATGCCAACTGCTGGTCCTGGCTGAATTCTACTCCTAGAGTGAGACATTAAGTTGCTTCCAATGTTCACCATTTTAAGTAACACTGTAATGAAAATGAACAACTTCATGTGCATGAATGTCGAATTATTAAGTCAAAGGGCAAGACTTTTTTTTAATAGCTTCATTTAAAAGTTCATTTATTTCTTCAATGAACAAGAGACACAGAAATAGGGAGAGAATGATACAGAGCATGCCAAGAGGGTCTTGATGCTGTGAGCCACTTGCAGCCTCAACCAGCACCAGATTATGGACAGGTATGTTATGGGGATACTGGGCTATCTGGGTTTGCAGCCAGAGATGCAAACCCAGAACTTCCTCATTTGGGTCAGCCTCGCAGAGTGTCATGTTTTTCCACGGCAACCTCATTAGGCCCTCTTCATTTGTTTGCTTTTAAAAAATATCTTTTGTATATCTTGGTGAAGTGTTTTCCCAAAGGGCAGTAACCTGCTCTAGTGAGAATCATTCAGGTTTGTTTCAAGGCTTACAGATGGCCTGTGAGGTCCCTTGCCCAGGAGCAGCACAAGGCTGGTACTCAGGAAGTGACAGACAAATCCATATGTTTCACTTCCCAGCATGGCTGGCTCCACTACACCAACTCTCCTTACCACCTAGAGAATGGTTTCTTATCTCGGCGTGGTGCTGAGCATGCCCCATCCCAAGGCACCTGGCAAACTGCTGTTGAGGATGGTTCAGCCATCAAGATAACAGGAGGTGCTGAATGCCACACGTTGGTTTCTGACCTCCAAGTACACTCTGTAGCACCGTGTACACTCCCCTGAGTTCAATGGGGTTGCTTATTACTTTCTTCAGGAGGATGCCTTTCCTCTCTATTTTAATGTACCACTAAGAATGGAACAAACTACCAAAGACACAATGATTGGTTGTTTTCTGATCACTTAGACAAATTTTAAAATTTATCATTCTTAGTTATACATTAAAATGGAAATATAGCAAAATAAATTGGGTAAGTTATTCCAAAAAGCCACTTTTTCACATTGAATCCAACTCCATCTGAATCATTTTCTGATTCAGAGTCATCAATGTCCATGTTTTCCCAAGGGGATCTCAGTAACAAAACAAAAAGTCATCTACTAGAAGCTTTCTTCTTATTTCAGATCTGGGAAAGAACTTGTTCATTGCTCTTCTAGAAAATATGGATGCAAATACCTGCTTCACTAACAGCAAATGCATATCCTGTTTCTCTGCTCCAGTGCCTCTCAGCATTTAGTGACTTTTCATTTCCAAGCTGAATTGC